CCCCAAAACCCCAAAACCCCAAAACCCCAAAACCCCAAAACCCCAAAACCCCAAAACCCCATAATTCTAAACTATAATTGAAAATTCCTTGAATAAAAATGAGGATATCAAAGTACAACCCCAATCGTATTTACAATAACGCACATCTGGATCTTAAAAACTCTCGAAATACAAGCAAGGAGCAACTGCGAACAATAGATCACAATGTCAAGTTCAGAGTCACTAAATAATAGCTTTCATGAGGAAGAGAATAAAGAAGTGGCTAATTTCAATATAAATAAATCCAGATGGTCTTTTAAAGGAAAAAACAGCCAATCCAAACCTTCTAGGTAGGTACAAAATGAGAGCTCTCATCAGGTCAGTTATGGAATTGTCAAAGAATACAGTCTCAGGATCTAGCTGTCGAAATGCCTCAAATTTATTTAGCATATTAGCTTCGAGAGATAATCCTTAGTTTACCAAAACGTTAGTTATAACTTAGAATTTAGAAAAGATTATAAGAGCCATCAACAGAATAGTAGTAAGGTCAATGCTAGAAGAAATTTAAATACTAATTAATGTAAGTATGCTATCCCAGGAAGATCCAGAGATGATCAATGAGAATCGAAGAAGAGCTGCAAATGGGACGGCTGCTCCTGATGCAGTGATTTATCAACAGTTTTTCAATTATCAAACTTTCTTTGGAAATAAAACAAAGAAAAGATCTAGCGGAACAGGAGTTAACCCTGCAGGAATGAGGAAAATGTCTGGCATAAGCAAAATCTCAAATAATAAACTATTTTCAAGTATTGGAAGTGGACCAATAGAGAGTAAATTTTCAATTAACCAATCTTAGCTACTGCATTCGAAGCACCTTCAATCTCAAAACATCAAAAGAGAAGCCTTGGGAACACCAGAGGGTCAATCGAACAGCCTCGCTCTAAAATCATGAAAAACCTAAACTCCTCAATTCACTCTACTACTCGCAACTTCTCTTCTATAATAAACCATCCCATTAGTCTCAACAACTCGATGGCTCTTAAACAATCAGCTAACAAAGAATCCTTAAATAATTCCTTAATAACTGAAGGGAATCAGAATCTACTTCCTTTAAACAAAAGTAACTATTCCTGCATAAATCTAGTTAATAAGAATATGAAGAAGAGGCTGAATAACCTACGGAACAAAGAGATTGTGAATAAACCTATAAAGGTCACCTCGCCAGCACAAATTTAGGACCAAGAGGAATCTAGGCGCCACTCAGTCCTTAAGGAACAGTACGAAAGTAGATGCCAAGTGTGGAAGAGGAGCAGCGGATACTGGGCTCAAGGGGATGAGAAGGGATGGAGAGGCTGAAGAAGAGCAGGATGGAGGGAAGAAGGGGGTGGAGAGGGGGAGAGAGAAGGGAAGAGAGGAGGTAAAGGAAGGAAAAGGGGTGGAGAAGCGAGGAAAATATGGGTTAGATAAGGTGAAAATGAGAAAATCTAAAGTTTATGATTTTTTATCAAAACCTTTGAAATCTTCAAAGAAGCAAGTTAAAATTTTTCCTCATAAGCCTAATTTGCAGTTGAAAAATCAAAGAAGTCCTGGTAGCTCTCCTAAAAAGCCTAGAACAACCAAAAATGCTCAAAAAGGATGAATAAAAATTCCAGAAACATTTCTTAACGTAAACTAAATTCATATAACTTTCTAGTCTGATAGAAAAGTTTCTCCTAAGAGAGAAATAATAGAACTCTCAAAGAAAAAACTAAATAGGGGAAGTTCTAAAGCAAATGGCTCACCAACCACGTCCCTATCGAGGCCAATCACAACGATAAAAAAGGTAATTCCAGTCCTAATCTCACAGGCACCGCCAAAGCTGAAATTGCCGATTTCAACTACAAATTTTGTTGAAAAATACTCAGATTACCTAGTCCCTTACGAAGTCAAAGAAATTATGAACTATCCCACTGTGTATTACATAAACGCAATAGAACGGAAGCAAGGCAAATTACCCAAACAAGAAGGAGACCGGAACTACGGCTGGAGCAAACTTAACGGAGAATTCTTATATGAAGAACATGACATGATCGCATACAGGTATGAAATCAGAAGTGTCCTAGGTAAAGGCTCTTTTGGCACTGTCTTCAAATGCTATGACTATAAAGAAAAAGACTTTATCGCTATCAAAGTTATCAGGTGTAGAAAGAAACTCCAGAAACAAGGCATGGTAGAGGTTAGCCTCCTCAAGCATCTCAAGGAGCATGACAAACATGATAGGAATAATATAGTCAGAATTAAGAACCATTTCTACTGGAGGAATCATTTATGAATTTGATTTGAAAGTCTGTCAATTAATCTATACGACTACTTAAAGAAGAATATGCACCAAGGATTCTCGATTGATCTGATCAGGAGGTTTGCTATCCAAATACTCATCTCTCTGGATTACCTCGAGCAGCATAGAATTGTACATTGAGACTTGAAGCCTGAAAATATTTTGTTACGCAAGCCAACCAAATCTGGTATCAAACTGATTGATTTTGGAAGTAGTTGATTCCGACAAAAGATTATTTATACATATATTCAGAGTCGTTTCTACCGAGCTCCTGAAATCCTGCTTGGGATTGACTATACCTGAGCTATTGATATGTGGAGTTTTGGCTGAATTCTTTACGAACTTTATACAGGGTACCCTCTATTTGCAGGAGAAGATGAGAATGAACAGATTCAACTTATAATGGAAATAAAAGGAGTTCCTCCTGTTGATGTGATCACGCAAGGGTCAAGATGGAAGTCTTATTTTCATTCAAACTATAATCCGAGATCAATCCCAAATTCTAAGAATAAAACACGAGTTCCTAATTCTAAAACCCTTCGAGATATCCTTAAATGAGACGATGAAGACTTTCTAGACATCATTGATAAATGAATAGAATGGAAGGTTGAAGACCGGCTTCGCCCAAAAGATGCTCTACAGCACAAATGGATAAAAACAGGCTTGGAAAAAGTCTCCAAAGGGGTTAAGCCTTCTTCCAAATTGATTAAATAATTTTTCAAAATAATCCTTATAAAAGGGGTTTTGGGGTTTTGGGGTTTTGGGG